GGGCCAAGCGGAGGGGCGGGGCTAAGCGGACGTCACGCCCCCCGCCCCGGCCTGGCCTCCGCACCTGCAGGGGGCCTGGCTCTCACGGTGCCCTCGGGCGGCCCCCAGGTCATCCGCCAGTTAGAGAACAACATCGAAAAGACGATGATTAAGATCACCACGAGCCAGAATATCCACCTGCTGTACATGGGCCTGCTGGACTACCTGAAGAAAGTGAGCCCCGAACTCCAACCCGAACCCGGGGCCCAGGGGCCCCAGCTAGGTGGGAGGGCCCGGGTCTCAGGCCCCAGCCTGCACGCAGGGCTGGGCTCTCGGAGGGAATGGGAACCACGCTAGCTGGTCAGGGCGGCCTGTACCTGGAGCCCCCAGTCCCAGACTGCACACGCGTTTTGAGCCCCTCTGTGGGTCTCCTGGGTTTCAGAGCCACCTCTCATACAGTGACATATCCCATCACAACCTCCTTGGAAGTGTCACTGGGCTGTCTGGCCCGGGGCAGTGGAAGAGGCCACTAGGGAGATACTGTGTGCCGCTCCTTTCACCTGCTCTGTGCCTGGCAGGGAGCTGGGGCCCCAGGCCACTGTCCTCGGGGTGCTCACAGTCTGAGGCGAGGGGACAGGGGCAGGCACAGGACACTCTAGAACTGGGAGGGGCCAGGGAAGTTGCCTGGAACAGGGGCAGCATGCTGTAGGCCCGCAGCCCCCGGGCCATGAGGCTCTGTGCCCACCTGCCCTGCCCCTTCAACTCAGGAGCTGGCAGGATACCCCACAGAGCTGGACAAGCTGCAGAATCTCGTGGTTGACTACTGCTCAGAACTGCAGGATATGACAGTCATGTCCCAAGATGCCATGATGATTACTGATGAAGTCAAGGTGAGCTCAGTTCCCCGGGCTGGGGGGCCCTGCGGGGCTCCCTGTCAGACCTGTCTGGCCCAGGATCCATTAGGACACCTCCATGCCCACACCACCTGCGATCGCTGGAGTCCAGCAGCCCCCCACCAGCCTGCTCTGTTCACACTGTGGCCCTGGACAGAGGGAGCCCCATTAGACAGGAAGCCATGGGGTGGACAGAGGAGGGAGAAAACTGGCCTGGGCCAGGCAGAGCCACCCACTCACCCAGTCTGTGCCAAGGCCCCTCAAAGCTGTCCTCATGAAGGGGCAGTGTGAGGAGGCAGCCGCTCATCCAGTCGTCCATGTCACACAGCCTCTGGCCAGCGCAGCAGAGAGACATGGGTACTGTGGGGCGCTGACCTGCTTGGGGCAGTAATGCTGAGAGGGCCCACAGGAGGCATGAGGAGCTGGCGCCGAGAGGCTGCAGAGGAACCAGCCTGAGAGCAGTGGTGGCTGTGGGCAGCTGGGGCTTGGGTGTCGGCCCCCCACCTACCCTGGAGCCAGCCCCCCTAACCTGGACCCTGGGAGGAAACAGGGCAGACGGGATCAGATTTGTGTTTCAGAACAGGTGCGCTCTGGCTGCAGAGACTGGAGGGGCCCAGGGCCCAGAGGCTGGTCACTGGGGCCAGACCAGTGGTAGACGGGGGTGGCCGAACCCAGAGGGAGCTGAGAAGCCTTTAAGAGGTCGCCCGATGATGCCCTAGCCAGTTTTGCTCAGTGGTTAGAGCATCGGCCCTCGGACTGAAGGGTCCGGGTTCAATTCCAGCAAAGGGCACATACCTTGGTTGCAGGCTCGATCCCCAGCCCTGGTCAGAGCACGTGCAGGAAGCAACCAGTCGGTGTTTCTCTCTGTCTCTCTCTCTCTGTGTCTCTCTCCCCCCCCCCTTCCACTCTCTGAAAAGCAATGTAAAAAATATCCTCAGTTGAGGATAAAAAAATTTTAAAAAAGTCAGCTGATGAGGTGGCACTAAGCCAGATGTGAGTGGTGAGGGACGGAGCAGCCCCCAGGATGCGTCAGCAAGTGTGGATGGACCATGGCGTTCACCACGGAAACAAGACAGGAAGAGACCAGGTTTGGGGGAAGAAGATGACTTCATTTGTAGACACGTGGCATCCACTTTAGTGAGCTCCGAGTGGGGTTGGCCACGAGGCAGCTGAGGTTGGCCGGAGCCATGGCTGTAGCTGGGTGACGCGGGCGGAGGAGGGCAGTGCAGGGAAGGAAGGCATCGCCGCTGAGAGGCCAGGCGGAGGGGACAGCGGAACCCTGAAGGATGGTGAAAGCGGCAGGCACCGTGTTGTAGGAAGGCCTTGAAGGCTGTTCCCAAATCTAGGGAGACGGGGGCTGAAAGTGACCACCGGATTTAGCACAAGTGACCACTGGATTACTGAAATGGACCCCCGCCGCCTCCCCATGTCCCCAGATGAACATGAGACAAAAGGAGGCGACCTTCATTGAGGAGCGCCGGGCGCGGGAGAACAGGCTGAACCAGCAGAAGAAGCTCATTGACAAGATCCATACCAAGGAGACCAGTGAGAAGTACCGTCGGGTGAGCGACCAGGGCCCCATGTGCACGAGGACAGTGGGGGGCGGCTCTTCAGCAGAGGCTGCTGCTCACCTCAGCCCCCCACCAGGGCCGGAGGGACCTGGACTTCCCCTCCAATCTGGTGAGGACAGAATCCATCAAAGGTAAGCACTCAGCTCCCTGCCCGCCCTCAACCAGGGTCCTGAGAGGCCAGCACTGGCTCAAGCCAACCAGTCAGACCACCGTTGAGGCCCCAGTGAGGGAGACAGACGTGTCCCTGCCTCTCCTTGGCCATACCTGCAGAGGCCGAGTGCCAGCGGTCACCAGCTTCAAGGCTACCTGCTGTGGACGCATGGCCAAGTGTGACTGAGGCCCTGGCTTCTCAGCTGTAAACCCCACAGGCACCCCAGGGCCTGGTCACCCACTGACTCGTCAGAAGAGACAACTCGAGTCCCCTGGGCCCCTGAGCTTCCTCTGAGAAGCTCCACTAAGCCCCACCAAGCCAGGCTGCTTCCGGTCCTCCTCTGGATGGCACTGCCCTGGGGCACCCCTGAAGTCCGGTTGGGGGGAAGCAGGGTCAGGTGCAAGCTCCTATGACAGGGACCCAGTTCCTGGGCGACCTTCCCTGGTGACAGGGAAGGTATGGAGGCCTCTGAGGCCTTGCAAAGCACTCCCACTGCATCCCTGTATGCTGGCTGTCCTTCCCTCTGCTCTGCTCTGCTCTGCTCTGCTCTGCTCTGCTCTGCTCTGCTCTGCTCTACTCAGTGAGGAGAAGAGATACCTCCAAGGCCGACATCGAGTACCAGGCAAATATGACTGCTTTGGTGGAGAAAGTCAAGACCGCTGTGCGCTGCTCCCACCTCTGGGTACTGCTCCCTGGCACTCCTGAGGTGTTGGGGGAAGGGCAGGTGGGGGCCCCTGTTGAGCTGGGCCAGGTTCTCTGGAATACACAATGCTGTGGCCCCCACAACTCAGAGGAGAGGGCCCTCCCGGGACACAGCTGGCACATCCCAGCCTGTTCCAGGGGATAAGAGAGCCACAGAATCTGAGGATCTGAAGACCTAGGGTGTGGCCTCCAACTCCAACCCCATCCCCTTTTCAAACCAACAACATTATAATCAGCAGCTGCCTCTCCACCTGCCCCCCTTTTATTTTAATCCGATCTAGGTTTATTATTAGTTAGCCTCAAGCTCCTGTCCAGCAGGGCCCTGACATAAGCCTGTCCATCCTTGGACAAGCGCCTTGCAGCCATGCAGTCTCTTAGTGGTGGTCTCCTGACTCCACCCTCTGCTTGTTGTGAGGGTTATGTGCAGTGACACACCTGGGGCACTTCACCCGATGGATAGTTGGCTCCCTATAAGTCCTCAGTGCCTGGCTGCCATGGACATTACTGACCACTGGGAGGGACCCAGAAGGAACCAGTTCTGTGGGCCCTGCTGAGATGGCCCACACCTGATTCTCCCTACTGGCACCGCTAGGACATTGCAGGCCAGTTCGAGGCTCAGAAGAACACGGAGAACAACCTGCAACTGCAGATGAAAGATTGTGAGGAGAGGCGGACTCAGATAGGGGCTTTGATGAAGAAGCTGGAGATGGAGGAGGCGCTGCTGAAGTTCCACTTGTCGCCCGGCTCTGACAGGTACCCAGGGGCCCCGCCTTCCTCCATCTGGGCCACCCACCAGACGCAGCTGGGGCCAGGCTCTGAGCCCAGCGTATGCACTGCCAACCAGCCTGCTCATGCTCTGCAGATGAGCCGGGGACCCCACCTGCCCACATCGCAGCTCTTGAGCCCCTGAATTGAGCACAGCACCCAACTCCACCCTCAGGTCTGCACCACCTTCCTCCCCATTGTCCTCAACAGCTTTGAGTCTGTCCAGAAGAAAATGAAGGACACGCTGAAGGAGGAGGAAGAGAGGCTGCAGCTGGCCTACAGTAACATGACTAAGAGCCAGAAGCTGCTGCTGACCATCCAGATGGGCATCGACAACCTGTACCTCAGGCTCATCGGCATCACCCTGCCCACGGCCCAGGTACTGGCCTGAATGGGGAGGAGCCGCCTGCACAGGGAGCCTGGGAGGAACCAGAGAGCAGACGAGCCCCTCCTTCTGGTCTGCAGAATGAAGTGGCATTCTCCAAAGGCCCGGGTAGCCTAGACGTGCAAAGCAAACTTGGCCCCGGTGGCCTAGACGTGCTCAGCAAACTTGGCCTGGGTAGCCTAGACGTGCACAGCAAACTGGCATACTGTGAGAGTAAGCTCCTGTACCTGGCTGACAAAGTGCAGGCGTTGTCCCCGACTGAGGAGGTAGCTCTGGGCTGGGGGTGGGGGGCTACTCGTACCATGTCCCCTCAGAGCTGACAGTCCCCCGTGCCCTGCAGATGAACGCGAAGGTGAGGGACACCCTGGAATCCTCAACTCTGAAGGAGAAGCAGAACACCAGGATCAGCTTTGAGGACCTGGAGGAAGATATGATAGGTACAGGCTCGGTCGGGGCTGGCAAGCCAGGCTGCCCAGCGCGGGGGGAAGATGTGGGGTGGCTGAGCTGTGCAGGGCAGAGGCTGGGCATGCCGCTTGCTCCATCTGACCAAGACAGCCAGGAAGGACAGGGATGGAGAGGATGAGGGTACATGGGGAGGTTAGTGCCATTGAGAGAATTAGTACATGTCCTGACGGGGCAGCACCAGTGCCCATCAGGAGGCAGAGAGGAGCAAAGGGGAGCCCCAGGCCAGAGCCCTTGTTGGGGTTCCTGTGGAAAAGGCAGGGTCCACGGCTTAAGATCAGCTCCTCTGAATAATTTTAGTGGGCTGGGGACATGGGGCTGTGCCCAGTTGTCTGGTCCCTGGCCCTGGGGTGAGCTGGGCAGGAGAATGTGGGCTTGTGTGAGATATATTTTTTAATAGTTCTTTTTTTTCAAAATATATATTGACTACAGAGAGAGGAAGGGAGAGGGAGAGAGAGAAACATCAATGACGAGAGTCACTGATCGGCTGCCTCCTGCTCGCCCCTCACCGGGGAAGGAGCCCGCAGCCCAGGCCTGGGAATCGAACCCCGATCTCCTGGATCCCAGGGGATGCTTGAGTGAGATTTTGATAAATGGGGGGCAGGAGGGTCTCTGCATTTGGTCAGTCTGCAAAAAAGACACCCCCGGCGCCCGGGGCGCGGCGTCCCCGGGCCTGGAAGGCCCC